CCGGACCGGTCCGGTTCGTTTCTTGGCTGGAAAATAATAAAAAATTCAAAAAATAATAAAATTCAAAAAAGTTTAAAAAAATAGAAAATTTAGAAAATTCAAAAAAAATCAGAAAAAATAAAAAAATCTTCAGAAATTCGAAAAAGTTCATAAAAATTGCAAAAATTAGAAATTTTCAGAAATTTTTTTTAGAAAAATCAAGAAATTCCAGAAAATACAAATAAAAAATGTGAAAAATTCAGAAAATCTATAAAAAAAAATTAGAAAATTCGAAAATTCATAAAAAATTTCAGAAAATCATAAAAATCAATTCTTGGTTAATGAAATTATCAGAAATTCAATTTCCGAAAAAAAAAATTTCAAAAATTCACAGAATGATTCAAAAATACTGTGGCCAACCTTAAAAAGTGAAATTTGAATTTTTTGAAGTGCCCAAGTGGCATTTTTAGAAAATCTCAAATTCAGGAGTTATAACCCCTAAAAAACCCTAAAACCATAAAAAGACACAAATCATGAAATTAACAAGCCTTTAGAGGTTCATTAGGGTTTGGATGTTTTGATTGGATTTCATTTTTAGAGACAATTTAGGATTGTTTGGTTTGATTGGCTTTGATTGCGCGTTTAATTCTTGATTGATTTTTCCCCGCAATTAGAATGAATAGAATTAGTGAGTAAGCCACGGAAACTTGTGTGACACGTTAGACATCGTATCGTTCTTAGGTACCGAAAGGGCGTTAGGGATCTCAATTTGGGATCATTAGCGTAACCAAGTTCCCGTACTCAGAATATCTGGTTCGTAGAATCGTGGTATTTCTCCCATACCCCGATTAAATTTCTAGTCAACCTACCAATAATGACTAGTGGCGACTCCAAAATCGAAAACATAGATCAAATAGGAAATTACCATCCGCTGTCACGTGAGGTATGATCTGAGAGAGACCTTTACATGGAAATACCTCCTTAGCGCGTAAATCCCGAAAGTCCCAAAAAAGCGCGGCGCGACACACCTTAAGTCGCATATCAGTTCTGCAAGACTTTTGATGTTATTCACAAGTAAGGACGCCCAATAGCTACCACATCACATGGTTACTAGAGTAAATCTTTTAAAGACTTGGACCCACGCGGAACATGTCGAGTTGTTATAATGTGAACCAGATATAATATTAATGAAATTGGAGGTCAAAATTAAAATGAAATTTCTTGAGAAAATATACAAATTTACTTGGAAGCCATCTTATGGTAGGCCAATTGCCAATTATTCACTTGACGGGGTAATGAAAGTTAAATCAATTTGGTTTGGGAGCTATCAGGTCCAACTATTTTGGGACGTCAAGCTTTCCTTGCCACGGTAACCACAAAACTTTAACTTAGCCTCTATTTATTTCGCGAAAAACATTTTCTGGGAAAATATTTTCTTTATTTTCCGGCGTTTGCTTTGCTTGGGAAAATGAGTCAACGGCAAATGTTTTCCTAGTCAATGGAAAACCTATTCTTAAAATTTAGAAAAATGATATCCTCTTTAAAAAATTGAAAATCATTTTCTAAATTTTGACTAGATATTGGCGCTTGGATAAGAAATTCTACACTTAAACACGAAAATTCTAACAATCATTCCTAGGACCTCATTGCCCAAGCCTGGATCCATGAGCCAGGCCCCCGACCTCGGTGCCCGTGCTTGAGCCCCTGCGCCCATGACCAGATCCCTAGCACCCAAACCCGAGTCTCTAGTGCTCGTGCCCAAGTCCATCGAGGCTGGACCCAGGACCTCAGTGTAGGTGCCTGAGTCTCCAGTGCCTAAGCCTAGGTCCATCGAGGCCAAGCTCGAGGCCTTAGTGCCCATGCCTAATGCCCTGGCACCAAGTCATGTCCACAAAGGCCTAGCGCAGGACCCTGATATTCATGCTCAATTCCCCGCGCCCAGGCCCACGTCCACAAAGGCAGTGCCTGGTCCCTGGTGCCCGGATCCCTCACGCCCGAGTCCAGGTCCATCGAGGTTGAGGCCTAGGACCCCAATGCCCATGCTTGGGTCCCCAACACTTGCACTCGGGTCCACAAAGACTACGCTCGGGTCCATCAAGGTTGGGCCCAGGCCTAGGTCTCTGGCGCCCGAGTCCAGGTCCATCAAGACTAAGCTTGGATCTCAGGACTCGTGCCTGGATCCCCAGGCTCAAGAGCCCCAATTCATTGAAACCGAAGCCCAAAACCTTAGTGCCCATGCCCTTTTCAAACGACGGAAAATATTTTGTGGTTCTTTTTTAGATTTCAGCCAAACACCGAAAATTATTGACATTTTTCTAGAAAAGAACTTACTGGAAAACATTTTTCATGAAACAAAAAGAGCCTGAAAGAAATGAGTCAAGCCTAATTTGCCAGTTGAGATTGAGCCCATGTAGCTCAGAAGAAGCATGATCAATTTCAAATCCTAAGGATTTGTTTACACCAAAAAATAGCCAACTTGTCGACATGGTTCGTTTGTGCCAAAGATCATCAAGGGACACATGACGGAGACTTGAGGTAACGTGGAAGCAAATATCATCAAGTTGCCAACATAAGGGACACATGTCAGACACATGTGTCATGTGTATATATTTACACCAAAAAATGACCAATTTTTAGGTATTATTGACAAGACTGGTCACGACTTCATCAAGGAAATTTCAATTCTGCGCTAGCTCGGGAAAATGATCATAACTTCTTCGAGACAGATCGGATTGACCTGATTCTAAAGCCAAAAGAACGAAGACTCATGAATCTACAACTTTTATGTTTTGAGTTTTCTCAGAAAATCACTGTAGAATCCATCAAGGTTAAAGGAAGTCGACGGTCGTGACTTCATCTTGTCGAGGACTTCTACATCTTGTCGATACTTCGACGAAATTGCAGTTCTGTGCTAGTTCGAGAAAATGGTCATAACTTCTTCGAGACAGATCGGATTGACCTGATTCCAAAGCCAAAAGAACGAAGACTTGTGGATCTACAACTTTTATGTTTTGAGTTTTCTCATAAAATCACTGTAGAAGCCATCAAGGTTAAAGGAAGTCGACGGTCGTGACTTCATCTTGTCGAGGACTTCGACGTCTTGTCGATACTTCGACGAAATTGCAGTTCTGCGCTAGTTCGGGAAAATAGTCATAACTTCTTCGAGACAGATCGGATTGACCTGATTCCAAAGCCAAAAGAACGAAGACTCATGAATTTACAACTTTTATGTTTTGAGTTTTCTCAGAAAATCACTGTAGAATCCATCAAGGTTAAAGGAAGTCGACAGTCGTGACTTCATCTTGTCGAGGACTTCGACATCTTGTCGATACTTCGACGAAATTGCAGTTCTGCGCTAGTTCGGGAAAATGGTCATAATTTCTTCGAGACAGATCGGATTGACCTGATTCCAAAGCCAAAAGAACGAAGACTCATGGATCTACAACTTTTATGTTTTAAGATTTCTCAGAAAATCACTGTAGAAGCCATCAAGGTTAAAGGAAGTCGACGGTCGTGACTTCATCTTGTCGAGGACTTCGACCAAATTTCAGCTCTGCGCTAACTCGGGAAAATGGTCATAACTTCTTCGAGACAGATCGGATTGACCTGATTCCAAAGCCAAAAGAACGAAGACTCATAGATCTACAACTTTTATGTTTTGAATTTACGCAGAAAATCACTGTAGAGTTTTCGACATTAAGAGGAAGTCGACGGTTGTGACTGGTTGGAGATGCAGAAAGAAGAAGTAACCGTCAACATAGTGGAGTCAAAGCAACCGCCAACGTAGTGGAGTAAAAAGAAAACCGTCAAGGTAGTGGATTCAACGTAACTGTTGGAAACCACTAAGGAGCATACATGCGAGAATAGTTACTTGGAACCATGATTATGAGGAAGTTATCGCTTGTGAACAAGATCGTGAGACAGTTATCTTGAAAACAGAATCATGGCATCACATGGACATGAAGACAAGATTTTTAGAATGGAAGAACATGGGCACAACTGTTGAAAACTGCTAAGGAGCAGTTACCACACGACTATTATAAATATCACCGGCCATCTACAGGAGAAAGAACCACCAACAAAAATCAAACAACATGTTATCTTTCAATTATCTTTACTTTCATGTATCGCACTTTATCTTTCCTTAGCTTTAGCTTTCCGATTCGCGTCGTCGATTAAATTCCGGCGTGTATCTCTATCCCGAGTATTGCATCGTCGATTAAATTCTGGCGTTACATCTTTGTGTACGTGTGCGGCTGTATTTTCAAGCTTTGTCGTCGATTAAATTCCGGCACGGTTTATACATATAGTCCGGTTCGAAGTTCGGAGTAAAAGTTCGCCGTTTTTCCTTGTCTCCCTGTATGTTTCCTGTCCGGAGTCGCCACGGAACCCGGTCTCCTCACATTAAGAACCGAAGAACGACTTTCGGTGAATTATATTTCGCCGCGGGAGCATTTTCTGGTGAAATAGGATTTCTTTATTTGGACCTAGTAGAATTGATTTCGTTTTTATATATACTGGTCCTAGCTCACTCCACCACCCATATCAATGCAAATTAGAGGCCCTCGTTATCTTTGTGGCCTAATTCATTTAATTCCAAATTTTGGTGGCCCAAATGATTTTTGTCTTTGGTTCGTTGGGCCGATTAAGGCTGCTTAGCTCTTCGTCCGAAGATAATTTGAGTCCCCTTATATCCAACACGTGAACTTAGTCGATACATTTTCCATCATCTTTTGACTAAGTTTTTTTCCTCTAGTTTCTTCAATTATCTACGCTTCACCAGTAATGGTTCCACATGAAAACTTTTATAATAGGAGAAATATTGAAAAACGAGACTAACTTTGGGTCGACACCCACAATTAATCCAAAACCAAGAACCTCAACATCGACACATTCTTGTTTTCGAAGTTCTTCCAATCTTGTTATTCATCAAGCTCAAAGCACGTTGTACACTATATTGTGATGTCCGCAATTAATATACATTAACGAAAAAAACAAACCGAAAAGAAAGCTTCAAGCACTTGTCTAATTCGGACTTGAAACAATAAATACATTACAATATCATGAAAAATCAAATCATTTCCATATGTCTTTCCCCCCCTACCATTTTTGGCCCCTCCTAAGAGGTTCCATTCATTTCATCTACCACGGGTCTTTAAGCAAAGTACAAGGGCATGGTCGAAAAAAGAAAAGGAGTTGAGAAATTAATTATAAACACCAGAGGCCAACTTTGCTCTTAGGTCCTTCCTCAAGATTTTGCCGGAGGGGGCCTTCGGAATTGCGTCCGTGAAGAAAACCCGCTTGAGTCTCTTGTAAAACACGACCTGCCAAAAAGCAATAAACATCATGTCTTCATTCTTAACACTTCAAAATTTCATCGGGAGAATATTTCATACAGATTTCTTGTAACATTTACAACGGTTGAAATAGGCTTTGTTAAGGTATCAGATAAAATGATTCCTAGCCGTAACGGGCAGCCAGATCTTCGAAACTGTTCTACCTGATTTTAACATGTATTGTGGAATGCAAATGCAAACATAGCTATGGTACAACATACTTAAATATCAGCTTCAACTGTACTGAACAATTTTAATCATTTTAAATACAAGCTCCAAAACCCTAAAAATTGAAATACTTGTTTATTTCTTCGTGTAGAGCCTTCATGTGTTTAGAAGGAATTGGAACTTTATCATCATTAGTTAGTCAACCCTTCATGTTGGAGACAGATCAATGTAACAAATGGAATATTAGATGAAAGGTGGTTGGTGGACAGCTATGGAGAACCTACACAATCGGCGAATAGTCAACATCTAATGCACCCCCACTCTAGACACATTATAGTTGGCAGGGTATTTAATTTTTGGACGGTCCACAATAATTCAAAAAGTGCATTTTCTTTATGGCAAATCATGATTTAAAATAGGGGAACTACCTAACTTTCCCCCCATGAGTGTTTGGTCCCATCAAACCTAGTGCTGACCGATAAGCAGCTAACCTCATCGTGCCCTAACATCTAGCATGTGAACATTATTCCAAAAAAACATATTTTTTAATATAGTCAGTCAAAAATCGACCAAAAAAAAAATTATATAGTCAGTAAATTGCTAACTCAGTCCCATGTGAATGTCTTAATTGAAGAGACATATCTATAACTTCACCAAAAATAAAATTCAATTAGTGAAAGTATCGATACTTCTAAAGAGAAATCTGATGTACCTGCTTTGAGATGTATTGCTTGATTTCGTCCTCAGTGATTATGGAACCATTGGATTTCACCACGAATGCCACAGGAACCTCACTGGCAGCCTCATCCTTCATCCTGATAATTCCCAAAAAGAAAACATAAATTTTATAAGAAATATATATATGTTTTTATATCCCAAAAATTTTGTACTAAACTTGCGAAAATATTGGACACCATGTGGTTGAGCATAGGACACTTACGGAACGACAGCGGCGTCCGAAATATTCGGGTGTGCAATCAGCATTGCCTCTAGCTCAGCCGGAGCGACTTGGAAGCCCTTGTACTTGATGAGCTCCTTCAGCCGGTCGACGATAAAGAGCTCGTCGTCGTCGTCGATGTAGCCTATGTCGCCGGTGTGCAGCCACCCTTCTTTGTCTATGGTTCTCGCGGTCGCCTCGGGGTCGTTCAGATAACCTGAAGACAGAAAATCAAAACGACGTCGGACCACGAAACATTGTCAACAATGACAAGGCTATAAAGTACGTGCCAAAAATCATTCACAGGTGACCCAACAAGGCCCCACGCTTTTCTAACACCAATGATTCTTCACGTTAGTGCTGCGACGGAGGTGAGGGTGTTTTTGTAAACGTGCTCAAGATAAAAATAATTATATAATTCTTCATGGTTTATTGAATATATAATGCATCCAGTGATCTTGGGTTAAATCTGAGTGTACCCAATTATCTTTTTTCATGAATAAAATGTCGCGGGGCATTTTTATTACCAAGATTAAGCAATTTAAACCAAGATTCCTTAGGTTATATATCGTTGAACAGCCTTTTGGTCATACATCATGATGACAACATGAGTTAAAATCAGAGGAATATTTCCAAAATCATGCAACTAAATAAGAAAGTACAAAATTATATGAGATTAAGTCACTCTCCAATGCCCTCATTTGATGCAAAATCTATGAAATTATTGCAATCAATGACGATGAGTGTCTTTCTATGCTTCTATAATCCAATTATGTTGTCATTTATGAATAGAAATGCAATGACTTCCTGTGTGTCTCGCTGGATAAATACCCACTTGAAAAGGAAATCCAAAACGAATCTTTACTAATTGCTTCTTGTTTTGAGTTATATACTAATTAACTAGTGGATATAGAAAAGAAAAAAGTGGGTCCAACATGACAAAATTGATTTTAAATCAATCGTCAATAACATTTTCTTACATCACTAGGTAAATCATAAATTCCGGCAATTTTTTAATCCGCCTTGTGATGCAATAAACAAAACGTTAATTGAGATTTGGATGGTCGCTTGAAACATCTTTACTTTGTGGCTTTAGGCTTCTAGATGATCATCATTACGAAGTCAATTTCTTTGGTTTCAAAAGAGAAAAGGACTTTTCAGTCCCCTCTTTATCCTCTCTCCCACCAACCCCCGTTTGCCACAAGTCAAGCTGATCCATTATTCGCGTTTTTTTTCCGAAAAGTCAAATTTTGCAATGGTAGGGGAAATAAAAAAAAAATTACAAGAGCATTTATTAAATATATTAGAAGAAAATATTGGCCGGAATTTTCAGCCGCTTCTTGATGTCCTTGAAACCCTTTCAATATCACCATTTTGCTATTAAACTACTCATGAAATGACTCTTTCAATAGGGGATCGGAAGATTGCTCAAGCACTCAATCAACCTCGGTGAATATGACTATCCTCTAATTTCCGGGTAATTATCGAAACACACGAGCATGTGATCCTAATTTGTGGTGCTCTTTAAGAGATTATGCTCGACTGTGGCCATTTGAACCTAGATAAGGAAAGGTCTAGTTGGATTAGTCATATCTAAGGAGATAATTTCTTGGTAAAGACCCTAAAACCTTACGCATCATGAAGTCATAGACCCGATTGTTAAAAATGATTAAACACGAAGAAATCATGCAAGAAGGACCTAAGGAAGTCATTGTCGACCACGAGACCCGTCAACTTGAGAATCGAACCACTCATCCATTTTTTATATTCCTTTTTCAACGAGACCATCAAGAAAAGAGGGAAAGAAACTTGGTATATGGAAATGGTAGGTGGTGGTGATGATGCGTACCTTTCATGATCTGGTGACCCCTAATGCAAATCTCGCCGGCCTGGCTCCGGGGAAGCGAAGCGCCAGTCTCCGGGTCGACGATCTTCATCTCGGCGTTCCTCACGACGGTCCCACACGCGCCCGACTTGATCTCGAACGGCTCCTTGGCGAACGCCAGGCACATCGCCAGAACCGGGCCCGCCTCCGTCATCCCATAGCCCTGCTCATTTTTCACATATCACAGAATTAGAAAAAAAAACTATTAAGATTCATAAAGTTTTCATTCTATGCATTGTTGGCGTAGGAAATAAGAGTACGCAAACAGAGTTTAGATGATAATGTATGATAAATATTCCATTATTAGTTTCCGTCTACCGAGTCATTTTTATAACCGATATAAAAAACGACAATGAGCAGTTTCCGAATGGTAATTAATAGGGTAAACGATGGGGATGGACCGATTTATTTGGTATGTGATCAATGAGCAGTAACTGTCTCATTTATTTCCCTCTCCTTGTTACTTTCCACTGCTCATCTCTGCCCTTGCATTTGGAGATTTACTTGAATTGGCAACAGGGAGGGAAGACAAAGCTAGGGTTGACCCAAAAGTGGGGGATGTCACTGCTTTGAATCCAAAAGTGACTAAAAGGGGCCATCAATGGACTACCCATTTAAAGATCTAATTAGTGGTGGGGACTTTAGTAGCACTTAATTTTCTTTCCCCTCCTCCCTTGGAACAAGTAGATCACCTAAGTTGTGGACATTATGGAGTTTGCCTCTTTGAACCTCGAATCGTGCTAGGGATAGATCTAAATCCCGTTTCGGATTCGTGCGTCTATGGCGGGATCGAATATGATGTGCCCGTGATCCGCCATGCCTATCACATAGATGCGGACGATACCCGGAAAAAAGTTGTATGTGAACCAAATTATTGCGGCCGGCTCTCTTTAATGCAGAAATTTTCCCACCTAACTAGGGTAAAAACGTCTTCTTATGTTAAAACGGGTCCTACCTAAGAGAGGATAAGCATAAAACCACAAGAAGGTCTTTAACTCCTAAAGCTTAATCAACACGGTCATACACACATGTCACCAGTCAGACCAAGTTGCTTCCCTCCCCTGTCACAACATTGTCCCAGTCGTTGGAAAAATATACCTTACACGTAATTAAAAGAAGAATTAGAATCTACGTTCTTGTCTCATTTTGAGTAACTATTCTACAAAAAATTCTAGAAGCCCACGTCTTTACCGGGTGCTGAAGTATTTGGATCGTATGCCCAGTTCAGAAATGAAACTTCCTATTCACGTCGCGTGATTTTGGCCGATAATTACGGTTCCAAATCCAATTTCATCCGGCGTTCGACGATGCTATCGTACCACGCATTTATAAATCATAACTGTTGTAATATGTCGGGAGTATTAAAAGCAAAGAGGAAGAGCGGATCTTCACCTGTCCGAGCGTGGCATTCGGCAGCTTGGCTCGCACGGTGTCCTCGAGCTCCTTCCCCATCGGGGCCGCGCCCGACATGACCGTCCGGATCGACGACAGGTCGTACCGGTCCACCTCGGCGCTCTTCGCGATCGCCAGCACGATCGGCGGGACGATGGGCAGGATCGTCACCCGGTACCGCTGCACGAGCTCCAGCAGCGCCACGATCTCGAACTTCTGCATGATCAGGATCGCCGCGCCGACGCGGAGCGCGCAGAACATCACCGAGTTGAGGCAGTATATGTGGAACAAGGGGAGCGCGCACAGGATCACGTCCTCCTTGTGGAAGTACAGGTTCGGGTTGTCCCCGTCAACTTGCTGCGCCACGCTGGTCACCTGGCCCCGGTGCGTGAGCATCACCCCCTTGGGGAGCCCCGTCGTGCCCGACGAGTAGGGCAGTGCCAGGACGTCGTCGGGGCTGATCTCCACCGCGGGGGCGGCGTTCTCGTCCGCCCGCATCAACTCCGAGAAGTGCAGGCAGCCCTCCAGCGCGGCGTCGATGCACACGATCTTGACCCCGTTCTCCTCCGCGAACGGCCTCACCTTCTCGGCGTACGCGGCCTGCGTGACCACCACCTTGGCCCGGGAGGCCGACGCCTGCTTGGCGATCTCCGCGGGGGTGTAGAACGGGTTCGCGGTCGTGCTGACGGCGCCCCGGTAGGACGCGCCGAGGAACGCGAACACGAACTCGGGGGAGTTCTGGAGGAGCAGCATGATCACGTCCCCTTTGCCGACGCCGAGCCCGTCCAGCCCCGCCGCGACCCGGCGGGACGTGAGCTCGACCTCGGCGTAGGTGTAGGTCCGGCCGGTGGCCCCGTCGATGACGCAGGGGCGGTCGGCGAACTCGGAGAGGTGCTGGAAGCAGTAGCCGTGGAGGGTGAGGTCGTCGGAGATATGGATGTCGGGGAGCTTCGAGCGGAAGACGAACTCGCGGGGCTGGTCCAGCGGCTTGGCCTCCATTGTCGTCGCGGCGGCGGACGGGCGGGGGAGGATGATGATGGGAGAGAGGGGTAGAGGGAGGGAGAGAGATTAGGAGGTGAGAAGGTGAGCGTTTGGTGGTGGCGCCTGTACCTTCCCTGGGGTTTGGTTTGAGTCTTGGGTTGCGGGTAATATACACGAGTCGGTGCGGGGTTAGGAGGGAGCTGGTGGAGGAGTCCTGCACCCGCCACTCGCCAGGGGCAGTTCGGTCTTTTCGGGTGGCACGATCGGGACAGCCGGGGGGGGGGGGGGCGGGAGAAGATACGCTGCAGCTGCTGCCCCGGGGCACGGGTCTGGCCAATGGGGTGCCGCCACGCGTCGCGCAACCTTAAACTTTGGTGTCTCTGTTTGTCCGGGTGCGTAGGTGGCGCGCTGTGATTGGAGGGCGGGGAGAGAATACTGGGTGGGTCTTGGGGCATCACCTACCACGCCGTGGAACAGTGGAAGGAAGGGGGGGCTATCGGAGGTTGGTGAGGGACATTTGGTGGGAAAAAAGAAAGATCATTTTTTCCCTTGTTTTCTTTTTTTTTTCCTTTTTTGACCCTTTTGGAATTATTTAGTGCATGTCACGTTTTGACTTTGGCCAGCAATGCTGTGCCACGTCGGATTTCACCTACCGAAGCCCAGGCCCCCCCCCCCCCCTCCCAATCGGAGGTTGATCCCACATCGCCCCGAGCGAGCTGGACATTCGAATATGATATCAGAATCGAGTTCTGCCCTCTTCAAATTATGATCGTGTTACTTCTGATCCAATCCGGCTCGCATATACGAAGCGTTGTTGAAATACCCATTGGCCCGACAATCTTGACAGTTCCATTTCCTATTTAAGCTTGAAAAATAATAAGCTCGATCCTTGTCTACACATTCACTTTCAATCCTTAAATATCGTGGAGACCCATTAGTCACCGTATAAAAATGAATTGACCCAATGAGACCCGCATTTAAATACGTTTCAACCAATCTAATCCCATCGAGCTTTTCTCTCCAATTTTGGAGATGAGATATCATTGTGGATATATGACGCGTGCATGCGTCATTTGGGACATATAGCGATTTTGCTTAGATAGAACAAAAACGAACTCGGCTTCGGACAAAACAGTGATATTCAGACAACGGCCAACGACGTCACGCCACGTAGGACTTCACCTACCAATGACCTTGACGGACACAGGGTCATGATGGAAGAGGACGCCATCCGGCCTTCACCTACCACAACCTCTATATATATAATTATAAATATAAATATACATTTGTGTTGTTTTTCCTGTTCGGATACTACAACTTGCTATTTGATAACTGTGTTTTCCGTTTGATTTCACCCCCCCAATCTGTCTACCAAGCAGGCTCACACGCCTGTTGGCCTTCAACTGCTATATGATAGCGTGCTTTTTGTTTGCTTTGCAGGAGTGACGCTTTCGTGACGCAGCTTTGAGACCCAGTTTTATTTGGTTGGAAAGATCGATTTTTTATTTTATTTTGTGATTTTTCTTTCTAATTTGGAGCTAATTTTGAGTGGGATAGGTCCGTCTAAGGTTTGGTGAATAGGTGAATGGGGGCACAAGTGATGCACGCATTTTCCTAATGGCCACCAACCGTGTAGGACTTTGACCATTGCTATGCTACCAACCTGTGACACTATTTGAACAGGTAAAAACCCTTCTGCGTCGCGAATGGGTGGACTTCATCCTCCTCGATCTCTCTAAATTGTTTATGATTGTCTCGGTTGGGTCCGCTGAATTCCGAGTTTTACTCGTTCTTCAACGCAGTAAACAAAATAACATGTGATGGGTAGAGTGACACGGGCGTAATCCCCTAAAAAATCATCAATTTTAGGTTTGCCCGAACCTTTTTTATTGTTTGAAAAAGCCCAAACTATCAATCTAGTCTCAAATCTGCCCACACATCCAAAATTCGTCACTAGTTTATTCGAAATAATCAACATAGGGGCCAATTAGAGGTTCGTTATCGAAATCCACGTCTTTATCAACACTCTCACCTTTATATGAAACAACAGTAACGTCCTGATATTGATAATCTTGAAGAAGTCAGTGGCGATTCTTGGACGCGTAATCAAATTTGAGACCATAATGAAAGTTGGGGATTTCTTGTTTAGATAATAAAAAGGGGAAAATTGTCCAAAAAGTCTTAAACATATTATTCAGTGTTAAACCTTTTAATTGTACCAACTGAATCATAAACCTTTTCACTTTTATCAATTGAGTCCATTTGACTAATTTTGATCAAATCACTGATGTGGACGCATGGCTGTCTTACGTGGCCCAAATGGTGATGAAAAGAAAAAAAAGGGAAAAATAAAAAATTAATAAAAAATTTGAAAAAAATATTAAATTATTATTAAAATTTGTTCACGTAAGCACCAGTCATACCACATAAGATGACTAGCGTCCACATCAGCGGTTTGGTCAAAATTGGGCGAATGGACTCAATTGGTAAAAAGTGAAAATGTTTAGAATTCAATTGGCACAATTAAAAGGTTTAAAACTGAATTCGCAAAAGTGCAATAAGTTTAGGATTTTTTGGAAAATTTTTCCCAAAAAAAAATTCGGAGCTGAATTGGAATTAGAACTAAAATTTGAGTTTTTTGGGGGATTAGCCCAAGTGACATATATGACTTAAGAGATATTGTGGATATTATCTCTTTATGTACTTACGGCCCTACTAGCTAGTTCAAAGAAATAAATATGTAGATAGATTCTTTTTATGAATGATGTGGTGGATAGAGCCAATCATAGTTTAGAAATAGTTAGAAACAACGTGGAAACTTATGCTTTTGAGGGGTATCGAATGTGTTGCACCATTTTTTTCATATGTGAGCGACATAGTCCATTAGAATAAGCTAGGACGACAACTTCCCTCGCTCCACGGGTGCTAAATTTATCCTATTGGAAATTTTGGTTTGTGGGGCTGTATTGACTAGTTGTGGGGATTGAACCCTCCACCTCCCCGTTCTATTTCAAAACGGTGGCCACTAGGGCATCACCATATTGGTTGCTATATTATTTAATAGGGAAAATTACTAATAAAGACTTAAATGTACAGTACTTGTGCCAATTCAATTAGTTGGAAGGATTCAACTAGTGAATTATCACAAGGTTTAGGACTGAATTTTCTTCAACCGTTCGTACTTTTTTGGAGGAGCGATACGTAGTGGACCACAACACTGATTATCGGAGTCGAACGGGTAACTTAGTCTCTTTGTGAACCACTAACGGAGTGAGGCCCACGTGTCACGTTCCCAAAGTTTCCCATGCACAAAGGACTATGTACGATCCAAGAAGACTGGACCAGTCTCCTCGAATTTTCGCAAACCTCTCAAATATTCCCAGGCTTGAGCAATACGGTAAATGTACCATGTTCTAGAGAGTTCTTATTTTAAATGTCATAAGTTGGTAGATGAGGAAATGTAATATTCGTTCTTTAGATCTAGAGTTAATCAATGGTTGTAATGAGAGGGACTCTTGTATAAATATGAGTGCCCTTCCCCTCATTTGTATCAATCCAACACTAGAGTAATAGAAAACATTCTATCCCATAATTTCTCTCTCTAAAAACTCTTTCTCTCTACAGTCCGGGTGAGCGAGCAATCAATCCTTTAGAAGAAGGCTTAGCTTAGGCGCTCGCCGCACGGTTCCGATCCCAATCAATCGGCCTGTGACACATGAACATCACTTCATTTTATAGTTACATCTATGCTCCTTTCAAGTATCGTGCTGTCACGATGGTCAGGCACTTACCATTTCTCACCGAGTTGAGTTGGATTGGTTCTTATCAATCTGAACTAATTAAAATCCCTATGAATTGATTAGTCCAGCCAAGAGTGGGAGTTTCCTAACATAACCATGCCGGAGCAAGGAATAGATGTTTTGATTGCAAAAAACATTGCATTCTTTAGGTGCGTTCGTTTTGCGGAAAATGAAAGGTTTGAAAAACATTCTCCTAAAAATGGTTACTTATATTACTTAAAAACATGAATGAATAAAAAAAATTTCATCGTCCATGAAAATATTTAGACATAAATTGTTGTCGATAATGAAAATACTTTCGTTGATTAATTATTTTAGGCAATATGAGAGATCATTTTTTAGAAAAAAAATTTCCAAATCATTTATTTTTTGCGAAATAAATGCTTGTCCTTTTATTCCTCACGATTTAAAATCGTTCACCAACTTCAATCGTCACATGTAAGTGGGTAAGCAGTTTTGTAGGAACTTTTGTGGGCAGGCCCGTTTTTGCGTGCATGTCATCCTAGAGTCGCACTACTCCTCTGCATGCAAGCCTTGTGTCTCGTGCAAGAGCGTTTGGAAATGAGCTTTTGTCCAATTGCTCCCGTGCAACAGTTCACCAGCAAACCTTGAAGCCAGCGAAGAGCTTTAGTGCTTCGAAATCGCAAAAATGCTTCCAATTTTTTGGCCCGTTGAAAATTGTGGTCAGATGATGAATGTAGTAACACTTTCCAAAGCATTTTGTTTCTTAACTGGGGTGTTCGGTTTGATCAATGGATTGGTCTTGGTTACCCAAGTCGAATATCAAGTCTAAAAGTCCTGTTGGTCCTGTTCATGATTTGGTAAACACTAAATTGTGTACGTGAGAAAAGATCGTTTGTGGGCTCTAGTTGGGAGTAAGAAGGAAACAACTTGCGATATAATCCCATAATTTACATTTATGTTCTGGCAAGCTTAAGCGAGCTTAGCTAAGTCCATGCATCCACGATCGGCTCTAATTGATGTAGCATGTAATTTTCGAGACATTGGGATAAAACTTTGTACAAATGACAACTAAGTAAAGCCCGATTTAAATGCAATAGAGATCTAACTGAACTCAAAATGCAAATTTCGAAGGTGAAAAGAGGTTAAAAGCAACGGTGGACTAAGGAGAGCTAATGAGGGTCGTCGACTCTAGCCTTTTGGTGTTTGATGCTATTTTTTATCAAATTATGTACACTGTTTTCAATAAAATTTCCATATCTTGCCTCATGACTCGGGAGAATCAAATTCCATTGAAGATAATCA